GAAGTTTTTCGGGACAACGGGACATAATGATCAAAAAAGGGACAATCCCGTTTTAAACGGGACGTATGGTCACCCTACTCTAAAACCATGTTTATTACTACATACCTAAGCGAACCATTCAAAATGTGCGTCGTAGGTTAGGTTAGGATAAATAGGAAATAAAATTTATATACAATTTTTGTAAATACGTATTTAGGATTCGTAAATGGCTATGAGAAGAAAACTTCGAGTAGGTACCTATAAAAACAATTTTAAACTAATAAATTAAATTTTTTTTTTCAAATTTTCACATTAATGAGATGTTTATTTAGTTGATATAATTAAATATCTAAACTTTAACATATTAGTACATTGTAAATTAATGGTTTAATCTTTTAACGAATATTTTTGTGTTTGTATAATCATAACTTACCTATAAATTATTACTGGCATAAAAGATGTTAAATATTTCCCCGAGCCCAAAATCCAGAACACTCATCGTGTTTCGTAAAACAACTCATAAAAAACGAAATTGCACATTTTTTAAAGTAAATTGCTATTAGATGCTAATTGAGTGCTTAACATTGACTTCCCCAATTTGTGTCATAGTAAGTCATACAAACGAAGTTTCAAATTTTTAATGTTGGTTGCTAAAAGCTGCAAAAAGTTTGCTAAATATTTGCACAGTTTTGGAGTTTATCGGGGAGGCCAACTAAAAAAGGCGCAAAATAATGTCAAAAAAGTAGCGGCAAATTTTTTGTATGGTTAGAATTGACGTCTAAGATTTGAATAAAATTATGGCTACCTGTAATGTAAATTGAGTTTACTCGGAAAGATTTCTCGGAAACTGTTTGATGTCAGTTACAATTAGTTACTAAAAGTTTAATAAATTTCGGGATTGGTCCTGAGCCGATAGAAAAAAGTCAGAAAGTCGGGGGGGCTGCGTGAAGTTAGCCCCCGATATTAAAATTGAGATTTCTCGGAAACTGTTTGATGTCGATTACATTTAGTCACCAAAAGGTTACTAAATTTTTTAATTGGTCCGAAACCGATTGGATATAATCCGGAGTACAACTTCATGGACGTCAAAATCGGTCCAATCAAATCAAACTTATATATTTTTGCACTAAAATAAATACGTGTATAAAGTTGCCCCCCATATCGAGCAAGTCAACCAAACCGAATGTAATTTATAGATCTTGCTGAATCTATGAAAACCTAGGAAATAATATGTGATAAATATATTATTATAATGTATGATTCATTTTTATTACATTTGGAATAATTTATAATCGAGAACTTGCCAATTATACATCATTTTAAATCCTAACTTATTTGCTAGGACATACAAATATTTTAATTTTATTTATATGTGGATAGATTGTATTAAAAAAACAAATGGAAGCAATAAATAACAAGAAACTAATTTTCGATTTTAATTTTAAAATTACTACAATTTACTTCAAGACTTATAAAAATTCAAATCAGGTGAAATATGCCAAAAAATATTTTTGTCCCTTTATGAACTCATTCAGGCCCACTGTACACAGTGGAAAAAATTTCCTTTCTTGTGTATCCAAATTCGAATCTCTCTCTTTTCAGGCTTTTTATTTTTAATATTAATGCTTACCTAACTTTAATTTAAAAATGAAGATAAATAATTAGGTAATGTAAAAAATCACAAGCACCATGAAAACATTCGATGAACAACTGATAAGCGATAACATAAAATATCATGAAAAAAAAAATGTAATTTTAAGAATTACCTATTTTTGTATTACCGAACTACGGACTACTCAAATTTGCACTTTGCAATTCAAATTTAGCTGAGTATTTGTTACATGTCCCGTAACTAGGTAATACCCAAGCAGTTTTAGGCGACCTGTAACGCAATGACTATGCATACCAGTGTAAAACTTACAATCGGTCTAGTTTGAATTGATCTATATGAAAGGGGTCAATTTCCCACACGTTAGGAATTCAGTTTCATGAATTTTTTTTTATATGATCAGAAATATTTGAACCTACCTCAGCAAAGAATTTATTAAATTCATAAGCAATCCCTTAGTAAAAAAAAGACTATTAATATTTAATAATAAACTATTGTAATAAATAGTTTTTTAATAGTGAACTATTAAAGTAAGTAATTATTTAGTAGTGAACTATCTAATAACGAATAGTATACTATTACAATTAGTAGTTTTTGAATAGTAAACTATTTAATAATCTTTAATTAACTAACACAGTAAGTAGTTGAAATATAAACTTATCTAATTTGGTACAATCCGTCACCAGCCACCCCCATCATTAATAAGATACTATTTTTTAGGACTATTAAAAACAAAAGTAACCAATTTAATTAAAAATATCGGGGGAGGGGGGGGTCATTCTATCATTAAATATTAAATATATTCTATATTAAATCATTCTAAGGTTCTGACTATTGCACCATAGTATCAATAAAGAGTATCAATAAAGCTGCTATAAAGAGAAAGTTTAGTTTGGAGTAAAAAGTTAACTTTTAAAGGTCCACAATTCTGAGGTATCATACTGCAATATTTATATAAAATTTTGAAGTTAACCCCACCTCATCTCCACATACATACTTACCCCCTTGCTGAATCAATAAGATTAAATGAAAACTATTTTAGACATTCAGACTCTCGAGATATCAATAAAACTTTGTTCATTATTCGTATTATCAGCACCGTAGCCAATTTTTTTTTTTGGGGTAAGAGATATCATTTGTATGTAAGCTACTATTTTGTAGTACAATAAAAAATACACCAAAATGACCGAGAAACAAAAAGAGGGGGCATCCCTCCACCCCTAACTTCTTCCTGTCACTAGTGTCTACTATTTAGAAGGGGTGTAAATTCCCATTCCCAATTCTGCAATTTCGAGATATCACTATAAATAGATATATAATATTTTGAAATTAACAACTTATATAGTCATAAAATTCAACTATTCAACAAGGTAGGTAGGCTAGTAGATAACGTTAGGTTAAATTAGACAGGGTTTAGGGTTCAATTCCAGGTGATGACAGAAATAAGACTCCAGTTTTTCTGAATTTTTTCTCATATTTTCGTATAAAATTATTTTTGTATATACTATTAAAATCTATTAGTAAAACTGTTAAAATCTATTTTGTAGTAAACTATTGAAATGTCTAATAATTTTCTGAATTTATACCATATGTTTTTTTTTCATTATCTACTTTTATAAATTGCTTTATTTATAAGTTTTCAGGTTAACTTGGAAACGTTACTTGATTGAATAATATGATTGTGAAAATATTATTTTCTAGCAAGACTCAATATAGACTACTTAAAATATTTCCATAGTCAAAATGTTGAACATTTATTAAAATGAAAGAAGTAAATGGATAATTTGAATGTTAATATATCATAAGTTATTTTTTAATGTTTACAAGTATAGCTGTATGATATAAATTTTGTTCTAGTTGATACAAAATGTATGGTTTCACATCAAAATATCCATAGAAAAAATATTGAAGTATAAATATTTATTCAAAACCTGAACGTTTATCATAAAAATTGTGACGAGAAACACAATAATCACTTATTATTATATCTTATTTTAATGTGTAATAAAATGAAAATATTTTTCTAAACTCAAGTAATATATCACATCAATATACTTAAACCAAATATATAACCAAAATGATGAATTTCTAACAGGCATTTATAAAATTGTTTACATTATTATACACAATGTTAAAATATATGCGTGTTTTTCTTTTCATTTTACCCAATGTTTATAACAAAAAATACAATCGTAAAATACGTACTCTACAGAAATTTCGTTCAAAAAATAAAAAAATAGTCATGTCTTGCCAGGAATATTTTTATCACAGATCTCATAACAATTAATGTTATAAATAAATAGTAAATATAGTGACATTAACTTTTTATAATTGTGTATATTTAATTAAGTTTTTAAGTACTATTTATTGATACTAATTTAAAAATATGGTCATACATTTTAGAATTGCCATTAAATGGTCATTAGGGACAACATTAACTGTATAGAGATGAAAATTGTGATACACAAGAAAAATTGGGAAGACAATTTTTTTAAACCATCTTTTGGACAAGCTAACTAATAAATAAACAGGAACTTATTTAATTTTCGTAAAACCTATTAAAACTGTACGTATAAAAATAAAAAGACCGACATACATCGCACGTGGATGTAGTCGCTTTTGTAGGTGGGAAGTTGGGAAGGTAGGGTACAATAGGGAATTTAATATAAACCTATTAGCAACGATAAATCATTGCTAAAGAAAAAACGATTCTGACCAGAGTTCAGTTGATTGTGTTGCTTTGTCAACAAAATATAAGGCATATCATGGTAAAATAATTAAATAGGCATCATATTATTTTTTTTAATAATATTATTTGTTTTATATTGTATAGATTTTTCCGTTTTTCCTACGTTTTTCCCATTTATTGGGAAAACTCCTGGAAAAATAAAAAATAACTCCTTTTAAGTATCTCCCAGATCAGATTAACTTTAGAGTAGTAAAATAACTCAGAAACTTTTCGTTCAAATTTCGATTACAATACATTTTCAGAAAAGTCATCCGATTTATAATTTGCTCTAAAAGGTTCCCATTTTGAAAAACCAAGGTTGGTGTCGCCACAAGATACTCCTTAAATTTGTGAAAAATCTATGTTTAAAAAAATGTTGGCTTTAACTATACATTTAAAACTTCTAAAAATTAGAATTTGAATATTTAACACGCTTATAGTGAATCACTCTGTATAGGGACAAATAGACAAATTTACTGTTTCATTATTTACAATTTTTTTTTTTTTCATTATAATTCGGTTTAAAAATAATTGTAGACTTGAAATTTTTAAAACAATCTCGGGATTTTTTAAGCTAATTTTAGTAATATGAAATTGTCGAGTTTTTTTAACTTTTTATTTGTATACTTTAGGTTATACCTATAGATAAAAATGTTTCATCAATTAGAAATGCTTGAAAATTTAACACGAGTTTCGTTGTACATTGTACTAAGTGGATTCAAAACATGCATGTAACCAAAATTCACTCAGAATCGTATTTCGTTAACAACGGTTATTATTGCCGCTAACATAAATAGGTAAATTAAATGACTAATGTATTATTTATTATACTACCTTCCCGGCATTTTTTGTTTTTTTTTTTTGTTTTTAACATTCCGTAGTCGTGAATAATGTTTCGAACGTCATATTTCGCGTAGGCGTAGGTATAATATAAAATTATATTCCATAATAAGTTTCTATTTTATAATAGATAAAGTTTTTCAAGACATAAAATAATAAGTTGTACATTATTATTACATTACATTGCTCGTTTTCTCTATACTTACTCGTGTATCCCTGCCAATTAAATGCTTATAATAATAACATATAATAGTATTATTTTATTTTACACTTTAATATGATAACAATAATAACGGCCACCGAGCCGCGTTACGGTCCGACAACTGTTTCTCAAAGTAATTTCATATACAAGTCGGAAAATCTGTAGCAAAACAAAAACGGCAAGAATGTATAATAATACGAGTTTGTCGTGCTTGTTGTAATAATATAGCCTTCTGACACTCAACCGCCACGAACTATAATATATAAAATACACTATCAATATTATAATATATACGGATTTTTTTGTTTTGTTGAGAGGGAAATAAACGTAAGAATACAAAGGCGCCGCGAATATACCGCCGAGTGTTCTTTATGTAGAGTGTAGACGTTCGAGAATATAAAATGAAATACAATTGTTAAAAAGCCAACATATCGAAATATCATCGTGTACATGTTGTAGGCGAAAAGTTGGGAAGATTTAAATAAACTCTAAATGATATCGGGTGATAACAATTACAAGGTTATAATATACACCGTGAAACCAGCGATAAATCGTTCCGAACGAAAAACGATTCTGCAACCGAAATTCGGCGAACTGCATGCGACGGTAAGATCAGGTATTATTAAATGATATAATAAAAACATGTTTCAACCCATATTATAATTTTCACCGATAGTATTACAAGGTAACTCAGGAATCAACAAAATCAAATTGCAAATGTATCGTCAGGCGTATTGTCAGTTTTTTTAAATTGTTTCGAAAAACAGATAGAAATCTATAAAAATTATGGCACCGCCGCGCTGGGCGGACATTCCGTATTTTTCAAGGTATACGACGTGAATAACTTCGTTCGTTGCTTTTACAAAACGAAAACGCGTTTATCTAGGAGAAAAAAAAGATCTGTGTACCTTTGTCCGTCAATTGCGGTCCGCCGACGAAAATTTTACACCATTGAAACGTACTCGCGTGAAGAAATCGGACAAATTTTCACCAAACCAAGTAGGTAAGTGTTTTCCGAAAATAAAAATAAAACGCGCGCCTAATAAAATGGACGAAAACGACTTGTTTCGTTCAGAATCTAAAACGCCGAGAGAGAAATAGAGACCAGTGAACCTATATACCATCACGAATGTACATATCGCATGTTTAATGCAGAAACCGAATAATAAAACGGAGAAAATTAGGTATCGGTTCGAATTCGCCGCACCGTTATCGTATTCTCGTATACTCGTATTACCGCCACTGCGGCGAAACACGAAAATAATAATTGCCTCGCCGGAACAGCGCAGTACACTGCAGGCGAGTAGGTATAGAGATACGTAATAATAATATTATTATTATTGTTGTTGTTGTTGTGTTTTTTTTTTCGTATGTATTAATATCGGGTGTATCGCTTTTGTATTACCGTTCGTGTGTGTTACCATGGTTATACGATATTCAGGCGTGACACGCGCGTTGTGTCTGATGCGCGGAACCGTGAAATTATAGACTACTGGAAGTTAAGTAGTCGCGGCGGAGGCTGAACACAGAGAAAAAAAAAAAAAACATTATTATATAAGGATAACGTTACGACCGGCGAAGAGAGAGACAGAGAGACGGAAAGAGGGGACAAAAACACCGACTACTATACTACAATATACGCTATGCTCGCCGCGTCCGACGGATCCTATTGTCGACAGCATCATGATCTGTCGGTCGGCCATTGTGATGCGTGATACCGGGCCCGATCGGTTATAAATAATATACGACACGTTACGCGTAGTAATAATAATAATAATAATACAGTTGCGTTTCTTTTACAAATACAGAAGAGAAAAAAATTTAAAAAAAAAAAAAAAGTAGGAAAACACACTGCACCGGCTAATCATGTTATTATTATGCATGACAGAGTATATTATATTATTATAATACCTATAGGTCGTAATAAGACGTAATATTATACGTATATACGTCTATACTTGTACCGTATACTTTCGTCCCGTTTCAACTGCGGCCGTGTCAAACAAAGGATGTAACGATGTACCTACGCCTATACCGGAATACTGATAGTATTGCAATGTGTAGGTTTTAAAAGGCCGTAATTTATTACGTTTTGAAAATAATACATTTCGTAAATTGTTCCGTTTTCCCTATGTGTTTTCCCGGTTTTTTACAATAACTATAAAAACTGCTTGGAAAAATTAAAAAATAATTTTCTTAAAGTACCCCCCCCCCCGGATAAAATTTCCTTTCAGATAAGATACTACACTTGAAAATTGGAGCAACATTTCAGATAGAAAAATTGTTCTCAGAAAAAAAAGCAGGGTTTTTTTTTTATTATAATCCGGCGACTTAAA